CTTTCTTTCTTTCTTTCTTTCTTTCTTTCTTTCTTTCTTTCTTTCTTCCTTCCTTCCTTCCTTCCTTCCTTCCTTCCTTCCTTCCTTCCTTTCCTTTCCCTTCCCTTCCCTTCCCTTCCCTTCCCTTCCCTTCCCTTCCCTTCCCTTCCCTTCCCTTTTTCCTTTCCTTTTTCCTTTCCTTTTTCTCCATCACTGGAGGTTTTGAAGAAGAGATTGGGCAGACCTCTCACCCTTCCTTCCTTCCTTCCTTCCTTCCTTCCTTCCTTCCTTCCTTCCTTCCTTCCTTCCTTCCTTCCTTCCAGCTGGCCAAGGTGGCGCTTCCTTCCAATCTGCCTGCCCCCCCCGGGGGGGAGGGTCAAGGGTGAAGCAGATCAGGGGCTGAGACCTCTCCAAGCTCAGCCCAGGACGGATGTGCTAAAACCATGCGAAGATTGCTTGGGATTAAGCTGGGCAGCAGATGGTGGCCCCGACAATGCCCTCAGGTCTGGGGAGGGGAAGGGGAAGGAAGGGAGGAAGGAAGGAAGGAAGGAAGGAAGGAAGGAAGGAAGGGGAGGAAGGAAGGGGAGGAAGGAAGGGGAGGAAGGATAAGAGAAAATTGGGGGAGGGAAGAGATGGAAGGGGGAAGGGTGGATAAGAGAAAGGGAGGAGGAGATGAACCGATGGAAGGAAGGAAGGGGAGGAAGCAGGGAAGGAAGAAAGGAAGGGGAGGAAGAAGAGAAGGGAGGGGAGGGGAGGAGGAAGGAGAAGAGGGCGGGAGGAGATGGATGGAAGGAGGGAGGAAGAAGAGAAGGAAGCGGGAAGGAGGGAGGAGGAGATGGAAGGAAGGAAAGGGGAGGAAGAAGAGAAGGAAGGTAGATTGGAGGAGGAAGGAAGATAAGAGAAAAGGGAGGGGGGAGCAGATGGAGGGATGGATGGATGGAAGGGGGAAGAAGGAAGGAAGATTGGAGAGGGAAGGAAGGACCAGAAAAAGGAAAGGAGGAGATGAATGGATGGAAGGGAGAAACAGGGAGATGGAAGGAAGGAGGCCAGGAAAGTCGGGGCAAAACTCACCGAACAACCGTTTTCGCTTAGCAACAGGACTTTTTGGGGGGGGGGCTCGGGGTGGACGTAAGTGGAGGACTCCCTGGAGAAGCCCTGCGCAGAGGCCGGAGGGGAGAGGAACAGCCCAAGGCCCAGCGGTGGCTCCAGGGCCGCTCTAAGGGCCCCCGGAAGAGGGAATGCGGGGGGGGGCTGTTAACGCATGATCCGCTCTCTTCCCGCCCCCCCCCCAGGCCGAAGCTGAGGTCGCGTCCTTGAACCGCCGCATCCAGCTGGTCGAGGAGGAGCTGGACCGGGCTCAGGAGCGCCTGGCCACGGCCTTGCAGAAGCTGGAAGAAGCCGAAAAGGCCGCCGATGAGAGCGAGAGGTGGGTGAGCAGGCCGGGCGGGGGGGGGGCCTTGCTTGGTAAGGCGGGGGGCGGGGTGGAGGTTCTGAGTGGCTTCGTCCTTGACTTCAAGACCGTCGTAGGGCTGGGTCGTAAGTCGGGAGGGTCAAGTTATCACCTGACTGTCCCACCCCTCCCTCCCTTTCCTTCCCTTCCTCCTCCTCCCCCTCCCTTTTTTCCTTCGTTCCTTCCTTTCTCCCTTTACCTGTCCTTCCTTCCTTCCTTCCCTCTTCTTTTCTTCCTTCTTTCCCTCCCTCCTTTCTTCCCCTGTCTACTACTCCTTTCTCCCTTCGCCTGTCTATTCCTTCCTTCCTTCCTTCCTTCCTTCCTTCCTTCCTTCCTTCCTTC